TGACCGTTTTGCCAAATCCTTTGTAGCCGGACGCAATGGTCCAGTCCATGGTTTTCTCCTTGACCATGCTCAAATTCAAGGAATAGTCGATGTCAACATAGATGGCACGCGAGCCAAAGGGCGCTTTCGAAGCATGATGTCAGCTGGTACTCATGAGAGTATCAAAGATTCTCACCCACGCGGATTAGTGCAATGGTGGGAAGGCGGCATTTATGAAAATGAGTACATCAAAGAGGATGGTGTATGGAAGATTTTCAGACTAAAGTATTTCCCCTTCTGGCACGCCGAGTTTAACAAAGGCTGGTCACATACGAAGCCGAACTATATACCCTTCCTTGCTAGGACTTTTCCAGAAGACCCTCATGGGCCGGATGAGCTTTGCTCTGACCCAATGTTGTGGCCGGATACGCGTGTGGTCCCATTCCATTATACGCATCCCATCACCGGTGAACAGGTAGCTGATGATGATTTGAGAGCACCAGAGTACGGAAAGGACCCGTCTACCAGTACTCCGCCTCTAGTACTGAGTCGGCCAAAGTCGGACATGGCGAATGGGGCATCATAGCTGAACAAATCGGATAGAAAGGACAATAAATTGTAGTATTCACTATGCACTTCCGACCCATAATTAATGACTACAATTCCAACAAGAGTCTAGAAATTAATGGGCCTCTCACTCCTCAAGAGGAAGTTTGAATAGCCGAATTGCGTTTGTTCTTCCGACTGCGTCTTTTTGATCATTTGTCAAATCAACTGACTTCCACCAAGTCTGTGCTTCTTCCACAGTATCGTAAGGTGTGTCTATCGACGTGAGTTAAATCCGAACATTGGAGGAAAAAGCGTACCTATTGCATACAAGCATCTACCTAAGCCTATTTCGTCGATGCAGTACTTTAAGCCTCGTGTGTTAAAGTTGCCAGATGTCGTGATGGAGACATTATGGGTCCAGTAGTGAGTGTAATCATGTTTCATTGGTCTTGATCCTTTCTTGAAAGGATGATTGAGCCAGTGGCTTGCCCTCCATAAGTTAAATGGTATACTACATCGATATTAGCTGATCGTCACAATATTATAATCTCTCACTAACCCTTCACCCAGATGTCCTACAACAATTTGAACCTTTGGAAATCGGTCGAAGATTCCTGATGAGCAAATTGCGTATAGATGCCAACTTAGATCAAGATGGAACTGTACGCCTGCACCAAGTAGATGTTTCCGATCCCCATATTTCGTTCCACTCTTCAAGTCCTGCGAAATTGCATACCGTGGGTGGAAGTAAATCGGAACATCGAGCTCCTGAACGGTCTCCCAGAATAGATCGTAGTCTGAGGTGTCAAAGTATACCTTCTCTTCCGCTTCGAAACCCCTTGACTGAAAGTCATTGACCAGCCCTCCAAACATGCCTAACTCTTCAACTGCTCGTCGCAGCTCTTCCGAAGCGTCTTTTGCATTATGCATTGACAGAGCTGCAAGTGCCCCAAATCTTTGTGGGTTCTTCTTCACTTCTCCAGAAAGGTAGTCATTTGCTGTCTGAGCCATGCTCCTCGCTTTTTCGGGATTTTCTTCTCCTTGTACACCGGGAGAAGTAAGAGATAACAACATGTATTCAACGCCATGTTCATCCATGCTTTTGAGACGGTCACCGTGAATGTCGAGAAGCCGGCGTTCGTGAGCAGATAACCCAGAATTTGGGTCACTACCAGGTTGCATCAAGCTTTGAAACTGAGCAAATGAATGCTTCTCCACCCCAGCTAGGTCTATGATTGCTTCCTCGATTGCTACTGTACCCTTCATCATTTTTTCTCGATAAATCCAAGGTAGAGGTTTCTATTAACTGCAAAGTCCAGAATGATATGAGTCTGGCATGCAGCTTAACATGAAGCATATTACATACGCAAGTATCTTGATACCAGGTTGTTCCCCCTGTGTGTGTGTGTGCTATGCAGTCTTTCCCAATCAAGCCACGGCAGTCGACATGGCAAATATTATCTTTCAATGAGTATGCATCACATCGTCCGAGATTGTTGAACTACTCGGCATTTTGATAACTGCGTTATCTCCGGTTCAAGCATTCGGAACGATCGCACCGACTCTCAAGTCACCTGCCATGTACCATTTTCGAAGCTACCCCGCAGGCCAACGCTCCCCACATCGAAGTAAACCGTCATGCGGAGAGGATCCGGACATAATGCCCCATCAATATAATAAAACGCCTTTTGAATATCAAAATTTAGGGTTAGGACAGCTTAAAAATATATACCTATGTCTTGGTGACAAAATAAATTGAGGAGTAGACACCAAAGATGGCTCACATATTCTCACTCGCCTCACCCGCGCCTTCAGCATATAAAGAAGGGGCTCGTTTCGGTGATCAAGTAAAATTCCCTGATAGAGGATTCTTCCAAGGCTTTAACCGACCTTCACGTTTGGAGGCCGATATCTTTGAGCTTGAAACAACAGGGACGGTAGGTATCCAACACTGTTCTCAGTTCCTAGAGCACCTATTGATAGAAGTAAAGATTCCGAAAGACATAAATGGAACATTTTACCGGGTTCAACCAGACCATCAATTTCCACCACTGTTTGAAGAAGACATCCATTTTAATGGAGATGGCTCTGTGTCCGCATTCCGATTTGAAAATGGTCACGTCGACTTCAGGCAGAGATATGTGAAGACCGATCGGTTCAATGCCGAAAAGAAAGCTCGGAAATCTTTACTTGGAAAATACAGGAATCCATACACGGACAATGAGATGGTCAAGGGTATAATCCGAACGGCATCTAACACCAATATCATCTTCTGGAGAGGAATTTTGCTCGCCGTGAAAGAAGATGGACCACCTTTCGCTATGGATCCTATCACTCTCGAAACTATTGGTAGGTACCACTTTGACGGACAAATGCTATTGCCTACCTTTACCGCGCATCCAAAATTTGATCCCGATACAGGGGAAATGGTATGTTTTAGCTACGAAGCTGGAGGCGACGGACATGATGCGAGCTGTGATATTGCTGTTTATACATTTGATAAGGATGGCAAGAAGACTGAAGAGTGCTGGTACAAAGCGCCATTCTGCGGTATGATTCACGATTGTGCGATTACAAAGAACTACGTCATCTTACCTCTCACACCACTCAAAGCGAACCTAGAAAGGCTTGAAAAGGGGGGAAACCATTTTGCGTGGGACCCGGATGAGGATCAATGGTATGGCATTGTCCCGCGTCGGAACGGAAAGCCCGAAGATATCATCTGGCTGCGCGCGGAAAATGGTATGGTCACAACCACCCTCAAAACGCAATGTTCAAACCAAAGATACTAAGACATTTATCAGGTTTTCATGGCCATATCATAGGTTCCTATGAAGACTCGTCAGGTAAGATAGTGGTAGACCTTACCATCGCCTCAGACAACGTCTTCTACTTCTTCCCTCCTGATGCCCAAGCCAACACGCCCACAACCTTACTCCAACGCAATAAACTCGTCTCAGATACTTTTCGCTGGGTCTTTGATCCTCAAACCCCCACCAACACACGCGTCCAGCCATTCAAGACATTTGGTATCAACGGCGAGTTCTCACGCATTGATGATAGATTTGTTACGAAGAAGTACAATCACTTCTGGCAATGCAGCATCGATCCTGAAAAGCCATATGATTTCCCAAAGTGCGGCCCGCCGGCCGGTGGCCTGTTTAACGTGATGGGGCATTATGAATGGGATACCGGGAAGAAAGACACATGGTGGGCGGGCCCAACGTGTACATTCCAAGAACCTGTTTTCGTGCCCAAAGCAGGTTCGACGGTAGAAGGTGAAGGCTATCTCATTGTACTGCTCAATCACTTGGATGTTCTGCGCAACGATATCCTTATCTTTGATGCACAGAATATTGCGCAGGGGCCGCTGGCCGCGATACACTTGCCGATCAAGCTTAGATTGGGGCTACACGGAAATTTTGTGGAGCAGAAGGAGATTGATGAGTGGGCGGAGAGGAGAAGGGATGGCGGGGAATTAGGCCCTGTGGTGCCGGCGTTGGAGCTTCTACCTTGGCAGCAGAAGTTGGCGAGGGAGGGGAAGTTAGGCTCTGCTGTTGAGAGCTATGGTTTCGATAAGCACTGAGTTGAGGGTGCATTTTCACATACTACTTAATCATTTTTGGGATCATTGAGTTCATGAAGAGACGACATTTAGTGAAATCATTTGAGCAAGTGACCAATATATCCATAGATTGTTTGCTAGAGATTCAATTTGGAGACACATTAGAAAACTTGTATGCGAGCCGTTTGTGTAAAAGTAAGGACACTAATTCTCATTCAATCAGACAGGTTTATGAATGTAAAAGCTTCGACGGGATATTCGCAAAATAAAGTATGGGTTCTCAATCAACGATAATGAAGGGAAAATATATTGAATAGCGAAAATAGTAATACTAGTAGCCATTTTATTGAAACTAAAGTCCCTCATGGAATTGTGATAGGGATTCTCAACATCGAGGTAGTAGTTATAAGCCCCTATGTTGTCCATGTATGCGTCAATATCTCAAATACCGTCTATTCACAAGGCCCATCAATCTTGAAAAGACAATGAAAAGATATTGATATTTTATGCTTAAACTTCTAAAATGCAAAGTTTTGTAGTTAATGAGATGCTCAAAGTCCTTTCTATGAAAGCAATTCCCTTACTCACATCTTATTTACCAGAAACACACTTGAACCAAGAAGGATAAAAGCGGAATATATCGTATACAAAGAAAGTCAATTGTTGATGAAGCAACAACACCTCAGAGGGAGTTATCATCTCCCATCTACCAAGGCGCTAGTATATTTGTCCATATTTGCCATGTCGTCACTTGTCTCACAGACCCACTTCCCGTCCTCCAACACCACCCAAAACTCCTAGTCCAAATCTTTCTCGGGTCCCTTCGTTCCACACGATCCTCGGCTCCCCTCTCAAACTTCCGCTATATGTATCCGTTAATTTAAAAATTACCCAAACAGGCAACCTATCCGATATAGTCTAGAGGTTAGGATATCCCGCTTTCAAGACTCAGCAAATGAGAAAAGATGCTCCGGGAAGACCCGTGTTCAATTTCCCAGTATCGGGAGATATCCGTCTGTCCCTGTTTTTGGCGTTATTTTGGTGTGTGGGTGGTGTGCAGTGGGTTGGTGTGAGGGGGTGAATGATAGAACACGTGACGACGCTAGCGGCATAGACTAGTAGTAGCACCTAGAAATGAAACGTACTACTTGAGTGATTCTTTTTATAGATTATCATTGCCTGATTTCCAGATTAGTTTCGTGCAATGCATAATAGCAGCATAAGAGGAACGGCTAGTCAAGTGTTATGAAGTAGCATAATGGCTAGCCGTTCGTATCTATTTTGGCCGCAGGCTGTGCAGGGCAACACACAAGAGAATACAAAGATGCGATTTCAACTCAGGAGATGAAACAGTACGATTGTCAATCAATCGGGCCTTTTCAAGCAGTAAGGTAGGTTACTTTTGCACAGTCATAGCATTGTACCACGATTACGCCCCCAAAAAAATCCATTTGATGCGCCTTGGTTCGTCCCACGTCCTCACGATTCCCACGTTTCCACGAAATCCAGCAGATCCCTCTCATTTTACGATATTCAGCCAATAAGAAAATCGGGACATATCATCCATGCTATGAAAATGAAACTCGGAACGGGCGGAAATTGCCTGGTTGGGTATAATCTCATGCACGTGCATGCGGCTTGCATGTGTCGCGATTACGTGCGGCCCCCTGTACAATATGGCATCATTGTTCCCTAAGCCCACTGACCACCCCATTGCCCGTGTTGGTTTGCGCCTGCGCATAGGTAAAGGTTGAAAACGGTTGTTTCAACGGTGAAAGGAAAGGTTGTTGGAAAAATGAATGGTATTGTTTGAATCTGGTGATTGTTAGTGAATGGAGAAAAACAAACATGTGACGATGCTTCATTATGTAGGCTAGATAGGGTGATAGGCTTTGGGTGGAAGAGGGGCGGTTTAGAGTGTGTGATGGGCGTAGCTATGCTGCAGCAGTGCTTGCGTCCTCCAGCTGCAAGCTGCAAGTACGTACCTGGACATACCTGCAGTGTCAGCCTGTGCTTTTGAAGTTGGGGATCATTGAGCTTGGTGCCCAAAGCCGTCGCTGTCTAGTGATCGGTGTGTATGGCTCCCGCGCCCTCACAAACATCGCATTTTCTGGTGCCTGTTCGTTTGCAATTCCTGCAGCCTTTGCCATTACACTCATCGCACTTGATAGTTCCGTTTCCCTTGCAATTTGGGCAGTCTTTCATGTTGTGGATCGAGGTGGGTCAAGTGAACAGGAGAGCGCCAGCCGAGGATGTGGGCGCGAAGGTAAAGGTGGGATGATTTTTGAACCAGCAATAAAGCTCGAGCTTGGTTGGGTGAAGTGAAGTTTCGGAATAAATCTGGTCAACAGTTGGTTTCGATTGGAGAATAAAACAGGCGTGGCGCAAGAAGGGGGGTGAGTGGTGATGGTCAAGTCTTATGGGAGGGGGAAGGGCGGCAAATGGGTTTCGAAACAACAAAAAGACAATCTTGGATATTGTCAGGGCCTTTATACGATGGCCAAAACGGGGCCCGCACTGGTCCGCAGCTTCCCCAAAGTCTAACTGCCAGAAATAGGGAAGTGGCACAGCCACGTATGAAGCGACTCCAACGACATGCCTACCTCTCAGTAGCGGGGTTTGCGCAAGATATCGTGAAGTCAGTTCATTGTTTAGCTCCAGTGTACTTACTTTGCGCCGTGGATGCACTGGAGTGGCAGGACTAGGCCGCTTGTATACCCCGTTTCCGCGCCATTGTTACCCCATTAGAGTGGCCTTACAATGAATGGAACCACAGATTCCTCCAATCTTGTAGTGTGGTAGGGCGAAGGCTCTCCATCTCGTTGGAAGATGGCGTGGCACCAGTTGCTAGAAATTAAAGGGGGTTAGAATAAAGATAGGCTGACAATGATCAATGACATCGCCTTGTACTACGTCCTAGACAAAGATGATGGCATGAGACACCAGGCAACGAATAGAGAATCAAAGCCGCCACAACCGGAATACTCCTCCGGAGACTTTTCTATCAGGAACGTGCCGTAGCCGAAGTTTAGAAGAAGGTGATTTGCGACGGCGGCTTCTAGCGTGTTTCTTCATGCAAGCAACGTCATTCCCGTCCTTCAATCACCCTTGACTATCCCTTGTGTGGTGGACTGCGCTTCATCACGGGGCGCAGCGCAGCACTGTAATGCAGCCCCCCCCTCCCCCCCCCCTAGCCATCGGCAAATCCGACTGAATGGAACCAACAACTACATCATATTGCAGCACACGGTCCAAACTAGGGGTAACTAGCACGAGAATGTTACACCTCTGTCGAGGCCCAAGGGGGTACATACACACGTGGCGCACTGCATGAGCGTTGAAGGGTAGAGCCGCCGGGGGCATAGGGCTGAGATAGGTATGGCTGGCCAGTAGTGCCTTGTGCTCCAACAAATCTGCACCAGGATCAGATAACGATTTGATCTATCGTACTATGAAACCTAACTGGCCTATGAAAAAGGGTCACATGTGCCCATGGCTCCACCTAAATATATCAAGCACACCCCCCAAATCACGCTGCCTGAGGCGCACAAACATATACGAATCCGTATCGGACATGTATTCAACCACTTCGGTACCTCTACGGTCCTTCTTTAACCACCGACTTGTTACCTGCCTAGGTACCGACTCTACAGCTTCGCTTTGAGAATATGTCTTTCAAGCGCCGGCCCATCCCAAATATCCCTCTCCACAGCCCTCGCATTAACATACTGCATCCCCAACTGTTCCACCCTCTCCACGCCAAGCAGCCGCATGCAAGTCTCAGTCTCAGCTTTTAAAACTGCAAGGTTCGGTCAGTTTTTCTCTTGTCTAGACGATTTCATGCCCCCCAAAAAAAAAGAAGGAAAAAAAAATACACTCACTTTCTAATACCCTAGCCACCCCCTCTTTACCTCCAGCCCCAAGTCCAAACAGCGCCGCGCGCCCTACGCCTACGCCCCTGGCCCCAAGACAAAGCGCCTTCACGACATCCGTGCCCCTCTTGATTCCACCGTCAACCCAGACTTCGATCTTGTCAAACACCTCCGGACAGTAGTTTCTTATCTCTAACAGCGTGTGCACGGCTGGGGGCGCCGTGTCCAGGGCCCTGCCGCCGTGATTTGAAAGAATGATCGCTTGGACTTGGGGCGCGTGTAGCGAGGCTAAATAGGCATCTTCGTGTGTTTGTAGGCCCTTGAGGACGATGGGCTTGGTCGTGTGCTTTGCGAGCCAGGTAAGTGTGTCACGCCATGTGAGGTCGGCGGCTGTGCCCCAGAATAGTGATTGGCCTACGCCCATGCTCTTTGGTTTGCTGGGTGTGGTAGCTGATGTTGAGGTTTTGCTGACGCTCTGGTCTTCTTGGACTGCGGCGCGGACGGGGAGGTTAGAGGCTATGTTTTTGCTGCGTTCGTCGTGCTCGCGTTTTCCAGGGACAGGGGCGTCTAACGTGAGGCAGATGAACTTGATTGCGTCTAGTTTGTTCATGCGTGTGAGCATGGCTTCGCTCTTGTGTCGCTCGTTTTGCACGTATAGTTGCCAGCCAAAGACTTGTCCTGGTGCGGCGTCTGCGACGATTTGTTCGGGTGTCATGGATGCGTTTTGCGAGATGATTTGCATGGCGCCGAACTTCTCGCAGGCTTGTGCAATGCCCCATTCGCCATCTGGATGAGCGAGGCGGGCCATGGCAGCCGGGGATACATAGAGAGGAAGTTTGACATCGTGGCCGAGAAACGACGTTGATGTGTCGCAGCGTGTGCAATCGACGAATACTCGTGGTCGAAGCAAAATCTGGCGATATACCTTGTTGTTAAATTCCTTGCTCGTTAAGTCATCAGCGGCTGAATAATAATATGCCCAGCCCTTGTAAGGTATATTCTTTGTTGCAACCTCCTCAATTTCGTCGATGTTCAAAATATTGTCCAAGTCCACAGGTCCTTCATATTTTGCTTCTCCTGTCTCTACCAGCGTCTTCTCTTCCTTGGGCATAGAGTCCGCATTTATAGTACCAAGCTTATCCCCAGGCTTTAGATTTTCTTCGAGGATGCCGGGTGGATGGATCGGGTCGTATTCATCAGTTGCGTCGGTTCCGGCGAGTTGGATGATGACTTTGCTTCCTCCAGGATGTTGGGGAATAAAGCGCGTTACATCATAAACATTGCCGTAGAGGACTACCCAGCAGCTCTCTGCTGTATTGTGTTTCGCGACTAACGTACATGTTAGCGACTGTTCCTTATGAGAGCACCAAGCGGCGTCCGACCCTCTGCGTAATTGAAAACCTTGGCCATTTTGTAACTCTCAGTTGATGTACACGTTATAGGAACTGCTTAAGAGAACGACAAAGCACCCAGCTTCAGGCCAACAACACGAAAAAGTGAGGAAAGAAACAAAGCTGCAAGCTCAGCGGCAGAAAAGCAGATGCCGACATATCGCATGCAAGTCACGACTCGTGCAAGCTGCAGTAGTCTGCGGGGGGGGGGGGGGGGGAACATTATTCGGGGTATTGCCCTCCCGAGTTACTTGATTGGACTGTTTGGTGTTCGCAAAGTCTAGGCATGTCCACCTGGCGCAACTGCACTGCAACTCTTAGCGCCAACGACAGGATGCCACCAGCTGCTCATAAAGGCCCACGAAACCGGAAAATTGGCGATTGGTGCAATTTCTTCGAGGCCAGCCATTTACGGACTATATACATAGTTGCCCTGTCTATTACATAGTCAAGCCTCTGCACCACAAAGAAGAGTAAAAGTCTATTTTGCCAGTCCTTGGGCCCATGAGGCTGGCGATGGCAGATTCAAATGCCGCGGGAACTGACATTGTGGCCTGTGCTCGAATTCATCACCTTTACCAAAAGCTTATCTGACCTCCCATGGACTGCAAATGAAAGTGATATACTAATTCGAAGTGTACTCTGTAGGGCATATAGGCAATCATGTGCGTTATTAGGACTCCTCCACTCACGACAGCTACACATCTTCTTCATACGTCCAACAGGTAATCTTGGGTTGTTCA